GTAAGTGCCGTAGGGGCTGGAATTCCCCTGATGGAATTCTGAGCCGTGGGAATGGCCAGAGATCTCCAGAGCTGTCAAAACAAACTGCAAAGTTGAGGCTTTTCATCCCCTTCTGCTCTCCCCCCACCCAAGATTCCTTCCTGTCCCCTCCCTGCCCCGCCTTTCCCTCACTCCTCGTCTCCCCCCAGCTCAGGATCCCGGGATCTCCCCGAGCCAGAGCCTGTGTGCCGAGGGCTCCAAGACACTGACGTCGGGGTCGCTGTCGGAGAGCGCCGGGGGGCCCCTGGAGTGCTGCTGCCTGGTGGTCCTGGCCACGGAGAACAAGGTACAGCTCCCACCTGGCCAGGGAAACCCCGGCAACACCCGGCCACTGCTGCAGTGGGATTGCTGGCAAATGTCTGGCTCTTGCATCGGGGTGAGGCTGGAGCCCCAAACTCCTCAGCGGCCACAGCCCGTGGGGTGTCCGGATCCTCCCCTGCCTTGTGGGACACACGGGGCTGGATTTAGGGATGCAGGTGTCATTGGGCATTGATGGAGCACAAGGTGATCCTGGAGAGGGACACAAGAGGGGCTCCAGGGATGGTTTCCCTTGGTTCCTGCTGCCCAGAGCCTCCTCCAGCAGCAGAAAATCCCTGAGGACGACAATCCCATAATGGGATTTTGCTGATCAGGGCGTTTTCCCAGTGCTGACCTGGAGTTTGTTTCATCCAGTGTCTGGATCCAGAGCTCCTGCTCTCGGTCTCTCCAGTCTCCAGTTGGGCTGGAGTTTCACTCCCCATGTTCCCAGTTGTGACGTTCCCTGGGCCACCTCCACCTCTCTGGGATGCAGGTGATGAGCCAAAATCCCAGGGAGCTGCACGGAGGAGCCTCAGCATGGAATGTGGGGGCTCAGGAGTGGATGCTGGAGCATCCCAGCCCCATTCCCGGGTGGGAGAGGGTCGGGATGTTCCTCTGGCAGCGCGGGAGGGTGACGGACTTCAGGTCCTCGTGGGAGAGGCCCCCTGTCCCACGGAGCCCAAGGGAAAGGCCGGTGTGGGGTTCTCCAAGCTCCCTGCTGGTTCCAGGTGGGTGCCGAGGAGCTGTGCTCCCTGCTCAGCCAGGTCTTCCAGATCGTCTACACCGAGTCCACCATCGACTTCCTGGACCGCGCCATCTTCGACGGGGCCTCCACGCCGACACGGCACCTGTCCCTGCACAGCGGTGGGTGTCACTGTCATTGTCACCTGTACCTGTCACCTGTCACTGT